CGATATGTCCACGTTCAGCCTGTTCCCTTTAGACGGATACTTCTGGAGATTTCACGTGGAAATCAACCATCCGAATACCAATAAACTGATGATGTGTTATGACACCAGCATGAGCACAGTCGTTAAACACGTATAGATGCAAATACACACGCTTTTTCTTCAGAACGTCTTTTCTTTATAACTTTCTATCTTCGACTCTTAATAAAAACAAAACCCTTTTCCAAAAAATATGTTTTCATAGATGGCGCCATTGATTTTAAGGTTAAACATTGTCTCTAAATCAATTGTATAAATATTTCGACTTAATCAAGTTGATTTTTTTTTGCTTTGTTCAGGGAACTTACATAGGTACGAACTGCACCTACAACATGGATATGTTCCAACTTTTCCCATTGGGCGGATACTTTTGGAAATTTCACGTGGAAGTCAATCATCCGAAGACCAATAATCTGGTGATGTGTTTCGACATGGACTTCAGTACGACCACTAAATACTAATACTAAAATAACCAACAACAATAAAAGCAATAAATATAAACACTGAACATCTCTCTAATTTACTAAAGAAAGAAGTCTGCAAATCACGGATTACATCGATCCAATTATTTTCCGATTCCCAGCAAACATTTAATTACCGCACACAGCCCGTATCCACCGATACGACTTTACTTCTCTTTTTGCGGTTTCGCCTATAAATAATCGATGTTAACACTTATAAGTTTACTCAAAAATAGTTGGGATCCGAAAACGAATGTCATTTAAAAGTGTTTCCATGGAATTAGAAGTTTTTACGATTTCATGTATAAATGTCACATTGACATATGTCATTTGAAGGTTATTATTTCCTTGGTACTGTATATTGAAGGTTCCTTTCTTTGGTGGTTTCATGTACAAATAACCTTAATTGATTTAAAATTGATCAATACAGGAATGATACGTCAATTGACTGAAACTCTAATAAACTTATTTGTTATCGAATATGTCATGTGTCAGACTAAAATTCGCAACTAAATGTCATTCTGACATATGTCACTTTAAAGTTTGATATACGAACATAATTGACATCTTGACATACGTCATTTAAAAGTTATTGTTCTTTTGAAACTTTATTTTGTTGTTTCGTGTATAAATAAGCTTAATTGATGTAACAACAATCAATATGGGAATGATACGTCAATTGATTCGAAACTCTAATAAACTTATTTAAAAAAAAATTATTGTCAAATTAAAATACAATGTCAACATGACATATGTCATATCAAAGTTTGATATACGATTATGAATGTCATACTGACATGTGTCAGTTTAAAGTTTGATATACGAACATAATTGATATAACGTCATTTAAAAGTTATTGTTTTCATGGAATTATAAATTTTATTCAAAAAGATGATATTTAGAGGTTAATATTATTTTTGTCGTTTCGTGTAAAAATAACCTTAATTGATGTAACAATCAATATGGTTACGTCAATCGATTCGAAATTTCAAAAAACTTATTTACAAATTTGACGTTTATTATCGAATACGTCATGATGTGTCAGTTTAAAATGTATATTCGGTATTAAATGTCACTCTGACATATGTTAAACTAACGTTTGATATACGAGAATAAATGTTATCCTAGCGTACGTCAGTTAAAAGTTATTGATTCCACAGAATCATAAATTTTATTCATTTTTTGTAAAAATAATTTCAGCTACAAATTGACACTCTTTTTGAAAATTTGGTTTTGGTTTTGTAAATAAATAACCTCATCTAAAAAGATGACGTTTATTATCGAATACGTCATGTGTAAAATTAAAATACAATGTCAACATGACATATGTCATATCAAAGTTTGATATACGATTATGAATGTCATACTGATATGTGTCCGTTTAAAGTTTGATATACGAACATAATTGACATAACGTCATTTAAAAGTTATTGTTTTCATAAAATTATAAATTTTATTCAAAAAGATGATATTTAGTGGTTAATATTCCTTTTGTTGTTTCGTGTAGAAATAACCTTAATTGATGTAACAATCAATATGGGAATGATACGTCAATCGATTAAAACTCTAATAAACTTATTTAAAAAAAACTTGATATTTATTATCGAATACGTCATGTGTCAAATTAAAATACAATGTCAACATGACATATGTCATATTAAAGTTTGATATACGATTATGAATGTCATACTGACATGTGTCAGTTTAAAGTTTGATATACGAACATAATTGACATAACGTCATTTAAAAGTTATTGTTTTCATGGAATTATAAATTTTATTCAAAAAGATGATATTTAGAGATTAATATTCCTTTTGTTGTTTCGTGTAAAAATAACATTAATTGATGTAACAATCAATATGGGAATGATACGTCAATCAATTGAAACTCTAATAAACTTATTTAAAAAAACTTGATGTTTATTATCAAATACGTCATGTGTCAAATTAAAATACAATGTCAACATGACATATGTCATATTAAAGTATGATATACGATTATGAATGTCATACTGACATGTGTCATTCACTGTTTCCATAGAAATCTAATTAAAGATTACTTGTTTTCAAACATAGATTCAATTCAATTCAACGGTAAATAGGATTAGTTTAAAATGTCCTGTCGAATGAAAGAGAGAAACAAATTGCATTTAATCCCCTTTTACACAAAAAAAAAACTAAGGAAATCAATTTGAAAACGTAATTAATAGAAACGTAGAATAAACAAACAAATGAATGGGCGAACAAAAAGCCTCCTAATGAATCTCCGTGCTATTTATTTCTTTTTGTTGTTGTTGTTGTACGTAAATGTATTTAAATTTCGTCATCGCTAGTTTAATTAAACTCGGATTAAGTCGATTTAATTCGATGCGCATTAATTTTTTTTGTTTCGTTCTTTGTCGGAGCGATTAAATCGACGGAAATAGGAAATGATGGGTAGGAACTATGAGACTGGGACACGGGACAGTGTCTATTCGATTACGTCCATTGAGACTTTGTGCGTCGAAATGCGAACCGTTTGCGGATTGACGACGATCGCGTTCGCGATGTTAACTTGTGGAGTCGACATTGGTCTGACGAAGAACGGAAAGGTCCAAAGATCCAAGTAACTTTCGTTTGACATTTCGTTTGATTGTTCATTTGTTTCGCAGCTCGTCGGGTATTTGGATAAATTCGAGGGCGTCTGTCCGGGCACCGAGAAACAGGTGAAGGGTGTCTTCAAGAACGTAAAGATTTACACGCTACCAACCGGACAGGTGGCAGTTGATTACGACATTCACTTCAAGGAGCAATTTCCGTCCAGCCTCACGGTAACTACAATTATCATTTCCATAGTAACGCAATCCAATTGGAATTTCATCATATTGGAAACGTCACACATAATGACATTTCATAAACGTCAAAATTTGTTTCTCATATTAAAGAGGTTAAATTAACGTTGTCAATAGTTACACAACATGGACGATATTATAATACGAAAGTCTCATCATCAGAGGGCGCTGTAATCTAATTTGTTAAATTCTCTTGTAGATTTTTCTAAAACTGTAATTTTATAACAATTTCACCGGATTATTGTATATTGAACTTAACTATTCATTATTTTCGATAAAAAATTAATTATTGATGTTTTTTTTTTTTTTGATGATTAGAGTGTTTGGAAAATACAGAAGTGCAGCTCTCGCGAGAACCCCGACTCGTGCATGCCCTTTTCCACCGTGAAGACACGTCAATTCTGCAGATTCCTGGTGAAGAGTAAAGCCACCGAGGCCTGGAGCGGATTCATCGATTGCATGCAACCGGATTTTCAGTGTCCCTTCAAAAAGGTACTTGTACTTCCTATTTTTTTTTTCTATTTTTTTTTGTTGTTGCTTCCAATCAATTTCTTTCAAACACAATTCTTTATTGTCTCAAGAGGGTTTACGTCGGCAAAAACTGCACGTACGACGCATCGCTCTTCTCGTTTTTCCCGTTGGACGGATTCTTCTGGAAGTTCCGAGTCGAAGTCTTTCATCCGAGGAGCAACGCCCTCATGATGTGCTTCAACGTGGACGGTGGAGTCACCACAAAATACTAATCAACGGAACGCCCGAGTAAAACTTCGTTCAGTAGTAAATAAAATTAATTAGATCGAAAAAATAAACTTCAAAACTTTCATTCGACGAGATGACGTTATCAATATTAAATGAAATCTCCGCTCACGTCCGACGTTTTTTTTTTTAATTAAAACGCAGAGAAGACAACAGAAACAAATCAAACAAAAGACAAACGTAAAGCGAAAGAGTAAAGAAAAATGAACGTCGAAGAAGAGCACTTGATTAAAGGTGGAAGCGCCGGGTTTCGTTTTTTTTTTTTAGAATTTAGTTTTTGTTTCTCTTTTGGTGCAGTGAAAACGGAATAATGAGTTTCCAAGAAAAAATTCGGATTAAGAGTTTCGCTTTTCGTATAGAAAGATAGAGAGAGAATTTAATACGTGGGTTTTCTGGATCGATTTCATAGAGAGTGAGCGAGTCTCTCTTATGTTTAATAATGTCGCGCGATTCTCCACAGCAAGAGACGATCCGCAAATTGCGTTCTTGAAATAAATTTAAACTGAAAAAGTTCACGTTAAAAAGTTCGCTTCGTTTCAAAGAAAATCTAAAACTAAAAAACAAAAATTTACTTTAAACAACTTGACAAAATGAAAAATTGATAACAAATGACATTTTGAGAAACAATTGTTTTTTTTTTTTGGTTTGTCGTGGTTGGCTAAAGTCACAATAATTAAAACAATTGCGGAAGTAGAAACAAACGAATATAGAATGTCATACAGTGTGCGTTATTAAAAGACAAATGAAAAAAAGACAAAATAAATTACGTGTTTGACGACAACGTTAAAACGTTAAACGTTAAAGTTCAATTGAAAATGACTTATAAGGTTACTGACGCGTGTTTTATCAACGTCATGACAACGATTAAAACAATCGCCTGATCACAGCGGTTCTAAAACGTTAAAACAATTGTTATGAGGTTATGTAAAACGTCATGAATGAGTCAGCTGCAAAACGAAAGCGCTAAACGCAATCATTATTAGTGCACTATACATTAGTGAGTGTTGTTGATAAGAAATCAATTAAAATAAGGCGATTACCAAAAGAATTTGAACGCAAATTACAGCCAAATTATGCAGCTTTCAGATCTATTCTATCTATTACAGTTTCCGAGAAAATCAATAAATCGTGGAAAAAAAAACTTGCAATTTTCTAGTGTTAATTTTACATATTTACAACTGTAAATTACATCCATATTCAATTTACAAAATAATAACGCAAAATATATTTAAATTACAAATTTTGCAACGTTTTTATTAAATCCAATTATGTACTCGATTGCATTTGTATTAGTTTACGCATTTATTTTATTTTAATTATTTTTGCATCCGAGAGTAAAATGATATTTTACATGAAAAAAAAATGTAAAAGTATTAAATGAAATATTGATATGATGTAGTGGAAGGGAAAATAA